TGTTTCTAAGGGAATGAAATACATCATCTTTTACTATTAGCTATTATTGCTACATGCCTGAAGGGATAGAGTAGCGTGTTTCTATTTCAATTACTCAAACTACTTTACTGGATATGGATTGAGCAGATTTGACCCTATAAGAACAAATGCTGTTATTACATTTAATGATTAAAATTCTGCTTGTACTCAGCTAAAATATAAATCAGCAGTTTGGAAGAACAGGCTTCAAGCTAAATAAAATTGCTTTGGGACACCAAATAATTCAGAGAATTACCAATGGGCTATTCAGGCTTTCACCTCTATAGCAGGTCACTAATTGGATTTAGACCAGTTTCATAGTGGTGATGTGAATTTGGAACCAAAATTATTATGTCTGCTTTGCAGCCTTCAGTGCCTAGTAATCTCCATCAAATTCCTAAAAAGTAACTATATCAGGATGTGCATGACAGAAAATTACTCACCCAGCCATATTAGGTAGATATGTCATATTTTGGAGTTGCCTATTTGTCTCCATTAAACAGAGGAAGTATCAAGATTACTAGCCCAGAGTTAGACTATTTGTTTCTAGATTAGAAACCTTAAATTAGAGAAAGGTACAGAGTACCTGGTTGATGAGGGAAATTTTGTCATATACAGAAGTTGGATAAATGCTTTTTCCTGAATTTCTAGACCTCAAAAATAAGAAATTATTTTCCTACTACGAAAAAAAAAAAATCCAAGAAAAAAGCATATATATAAAACAAGAGAAATACTGATATCCTCCTTGTCTTACCATGAAACACTGGATATTAGTAGGATGCTAACAATTTCAGACATAGCCTTTGGTTTTCATTTTACTTTCAGGCTAAATTTCAAAAATCCACAGTGATTCAGGATGGAGATGAGGGCAGAATATGCCTCTTCAATACATGGAACACATTTACAACTGGAGGTGGGTTGGTCCATAATACTAAGAATTTATTACTTCTTTATCTGTTCTATCAGCTGATATGTCCTACTTTCCTCCTTCAATTTAGTACAGACTCATGAGTCAGGAAGGGCCCTGCAGGATTATTTTATCCCAGGGGAATGCCAGGATCTCATATCATATCTCTTCAAGCTCCTTTTGATTCTAATTGCTTTGTGATTTCATGCAAAATTCTGCTCTAGTCTGTATTGTTCATCATATGAAGTTTTACTGGAACTAGCCAACTGGTTTGCTGTGGGGCTTGGTGGGTTTTGTACAGCTAGTGGTAGCTTTCCTTGAAAGCTTACATCTTGGATAGCCACACTTTGGTACTGGGGCAAAGGGGCTCACTGAGTAGTCTGAGCTCTCAGGGTGTGAAGGGGCAAATATCCATTGGTATTTGGCTGGGAAACACTTGGTCATTGTCTCATTTCTGCATCTGAGTCTGCAACTTCTCCCTGCCAGTTGGTGTGTGAGAATTATTTCTGAGCTTTTAGACAGGGACAAAGCATTTGAACTGTTCTGAGGCCACGTCTTTTCTCCAAAAATATTCTAAATTATAAATTCTTCTAAACAAGAATTCCAGAAGTCTCTGTTGTAAAGGCTGAAGAGGAAATCTCTTAGAATTCAGTTTGCTCTGGATTCACAGAGGAGTTGACTTCCCTACCAAAGCAGTTTAAAGGAACAAAACCAAAAAAATATATTGCACAGTACAAGCAAACACACTTGTACATTCTCAAAACTCAGCACCTGCATTGTAGGTAGACATTCACTGCTGATTGAAGAGGTCCAGCTATAGGCAGTATCCTATTCTAAATAAAAACAGCATGACAATGCAGCTCTGAGAAACATGCCAAACATTCCTCAGGACTTCTGACAGCAGGCAGCCAATTACTTTGAAAATAATGGGTTCTGTCTTATGACTGCAGCAGCAACACAAATGTATCTCCCTTGATCCCAACATCAAGGTAGAGCTTTGCATTTCCAATATTTGAATTCAATCAAAGCAAAGGTTTCAATGTTATTTGTTATTTTTTTATGGTGAGTGGCAGCTTGTTGGCTTTTTCTGCAATCAGATGTAACAGCGGCAGGGTTAAAAGAGATATATAAATAATAGATGGTTTCTCTCACCTAAAGAGGGATCTGCCAATTCTTGCCCTCCTTTTAATTTTGGGAAGGGAATATAATTTAAAAGATGACATATTTTTTTCCCATCAAGTCAATGAAGAAGGAAGCCTCCAGAAGAACAATGGCTGATGCCATAGCATGACTATCTGACAGGCTTGAAAAGTGACTGTAAAATTGCCAACACAACAAGCCTTTTATCTTAGATGATAGTAATTGAAGCTTGTGAATTGCATCCAAGGAATAGGAGGAGATATATGATGTCCTCCTACCTCTTTTCTTACTGTTTTAATTATCATTATTTTAAAATATATATATAAATATTCAGAAAACAGACATCCCCTTTTTTTTTAATTCCTCTAAATGAGTTACAGGAATATCATCACTACACCGCTGAATTTGGCTTTATTCCTAGCATAAAAATACATTGCTCTTTTCAAATTTCTTTGCCTTTATGCCTATTTTCTGAGTAAATGGTAGCCCTAGATGCAAATAAATGTCTTTGGAGGTTTACTCACAGGCCCATTCAGTTAATGGGAAAACTTGCCCCATGTACTAATACAGTCAAGGTCTTTCTATGTGAGCGGCTGTCACAGGGCTTTACTGAGCAGGCCGTAGCCTTCAGCGCTCAAAGGGACACACCCAAGACCCAATTGCAGCCTGGATTTGTGTGTTGCAGGGAGTGGAATGTGGTTAATTCAAGGCTTTTCCGTGCTCCTGTGTGAGCATGGAGCCCATGTGGGCAGCCCACATGGGCTCTGGCGCTGTCACGGGGCAAGGCGAGGCTGTGGCGTTCACCGGGTGCCTCCTCCCTTTGGATGCTGCAGGGCTTCCCTTTGAGTACGGCCAGGCGGCTTGGCTCCTACACTGCAGCCTGCCAGGACGAAGGGGACAGTGAGCCTGAAACTTGGCTCACTTGGCTAAGACTAGAGCACTCTGCCAGCTGCCAGCGTGCAATTCAGACACAGAAACTTGATCCTGGCTTAAACTTTGGATTTGCCTTGCAGAGATCTCCACAGCAGCTCTTTTCTGCACATCTTATTCTGGAATGGTAAAGCTGAGTTCAGTGTCATCCTCAGGCTAACAAGGTTTGAATTTATACCTCCCAGAAGTACTGGAGGGTACATGAATTTGCAGGCTCACCTGGGTAGAAAGATGCCTCCACATCTGTTTAAACTGCATTTTTGCAGCCAGGCATGCAGAATTCATGGCACTCAAAGGAAGAACAGCAGAAGAGCTCAATTCTGTACCTGGGAATAAAAACAACTGTGTACCCAGATGTGCTTACAGGATGCTGTGTGCTCATTCTACCCTACATTGGTACTGAAGGGAAAAGGTCATCCAGGAAAAAGAAAGGCTTTTTCTTCCCCTGATGAAGCACCTAATATCTAAACTGGATATATGCTCTGTCTCACCTTTTCTGACTCTCTATATTTTTCACACCTGCTTTAGAGAGGAAGGATGTAGGGGATTTTCTTAAGATTATACCTGATTTACAGCAAGGATATCCTTCTCAGTTGTACAATCTCTCATCTTAATCTGAACAATGTGAACATTAATTTAAATCCTTAGTCATCTACTTCCTGACCATATGCCCCACATTTGGTGGAGTTAATCATCATTTGTACAATAAATTCCACAAGTTCTTAACTGAGGTCAGCGTCATCCAAATAACTTAATCTTGGACCCAGCAAACTTAATAATTAGATCTTATGACAGAGGATATACATACTTCCACAAGTGCTTTAAGCCAATATAAAGCCTTATTCTCCCAAAAGACTGATTTCAACCTGTGCTCCACATGTCTGCTTTTTAGCATGCAGGTGGCCATATGGTTGTCATCTTGCTGATCTAGCTGACTGTGTGCAGCCACAGAAGTGCCTGTGCTCAAACTCACATTTCATGGGTCCATGTGCGCATGATAGAAGGGGGAACAAGTAGGAAAAGGCTTCTCTTTGTGGCACACAGACTGGCTTAAACTGCCTGTGTCGCATTATTTAATACAAATGAGCAATTATAACCACCAGAACTCCATCCTAAGAAGCAGACACCAAGGGAGTCTGCTCCAAAATATCAGTGACATTCTGGCATATAAGCAGGAACTTTTCAATCAAGTCCAAGCAGCTTAGAGGGAGTTTTCTGTGATCACTGTCCTCTATTTGGTCTTCCTACATGATATTTTTAGTGCTGGAGCTGTTATCTTGAATTTGAATCCTCCGTGGAATAAGGGGAGTTAAAATGGGATTATTGGCACACTTCATGGATGGCAGCAGTATGCTGAGCTATTGAGGCAACAAAAAAAAAAGTGAAATATTCCTTTTCCAGCTTTAAAAGTAACAGTTCTCAGGATAATCTGTAATTTCTTTTACAAGAACATAAGGAGTGCATCACTGAGTTAGACCAAAGGCATGTTTAACCCAGTTCTTGGTTTTGACAGCAACCAATAGCAAAGGCATCAAGAAGACATTAGGAAAGAAAGAAAAAACAAGTCAATAGCAAACTGTCCCTGTTCAACAGCTTAGGGTCTTCTTCAGCCACAAATTATATCAGAGGCTCATGTTTGACTTTATATTACAACTCAAGTAGGCTGATATAAATATTTCCCCCCCAGATCTGCCCTCTGCCCATTAGTGTTTAGTTCTGGGATCTCCCAGTATCTCTATGGATGATTTTCATAGTACAATAATGTGAAAATACAGAATTTGCTTGTTTTAAGTTTCCCAGGCAACTTCAGTGTGTGTTACATTAATTATTGTCTATTCACTTTTTCCATTGATTCCACTTTTTTTCTCTGCCCTTTTCCCCAGTAGGTCCCTCCCCAGACTGCAGTATTTCCTTCTACAAAATAGCTGTGCCAGACTTTCAATTACTACTGATTGTGCCTGGGTATATTTTCTACCTTTTTTTTTTTTTTTTCTTTTTTGTCCAGGGGTGATGATGAACATTATGCATGAGGAAGAACTGTAAATGATCTGTAACTGAATCCTCACAATCAAGAGCCCTGCTCATCCAGCTGCAAATTCAGGTACTCTTTCTGCTCTCACTTCTCATCCTGTAGCTGTTAGACACAAATGGTTTAAATGCCAACAGATTTACCTCTTCACTTCTCTCCATTTCCCTGTCTGTTTACTTAGAGTTTGCTTGGGATCCTCCATTGGAGTGAAGCAACTTACTTGCTACTAAATTTTCTTCCTACTCTTAACTCTCCTGGTTAAGACCTCAGCAGTGGCACAGGTGAAGCTGCATCAAGTTCAGTCCTCCTCTGGTGTTTTAGCACCAGCTATCTCCAGTTTTTTATTTCAGATGTTTAAAATACTAGAGCTACAATGAGTCCAGAAGAGCCTGAAGGCCAGCACAGAGGGCTTGGCACTGAACACTATGAGTGCAGGACATTGACTTTGGCCATGACTGCAAGCACTCCTGCATGAGAATGCTGTTGTGTTATCAGATCAGGAGCAGAAAGGGCCTTCCAGGAGCACCTGCTACTGTTTTGTTTTTTTTTTTTTTTTCCTATGAGGCAACCTAGATGTGAGTCTCTGAAACAGAAGAGTGAATCCAAGTCTATTGACTCCCAGATTAGTGCTCCAGTCTCAAGGTTATTTCTACCTCTCTGAGCTCTGTATTTTGTGCAAAGTCCATACTGCCAGCTGGGTGTCTCAGATCATGTCTGACAGACTGACATGAGCATGCAACTATCTTTACAAGTCACAGACAGACTGAGACCCACAGCCTCTGGGCATCTGTACAAGCAGAATTTAAACCATGGAGGAAAACAGGTGCTTGCAACTTCTTAGAGATCGAAACAAACTCAGAGATTGAATCCCTTTGTTAAGAGCTCAGTGCTTAAAGTACAAGTGGCAAGCAGTGACAAACAACCATTTATTTTTTTTAATAAAAACTCTAATGAATTTAGGCTTGTACTTATATAAAAGGGAGGGAGGGAGGTAGTCTGTCTATATATGTGTACCCATTTACTGTGCACATAAATCTATTAAATATACATTTTATATTTGTGTACATATGGTACATATACATGTACAGGTATATATGTACACATATACACATGTGGGTTTATGTGATTAATATATATGTACCTTAATAGAATAAACTTTCTCATTTGGCTATTTAAGGCAAGATTTCTAAACGAAAATTAGTGCCAAAAAACCCCATTAAGTTTTCTGACTTATTCCCTCTCACTTCTCTTAAAACTCATGCTCAGCCAACAAATATGGTCACAAAACCCTCTATATTCCATTCACAGAAACTCCAGTCTCATCTTTCTGAAGTCTTCATCTGAGCATTTTTCTTTTATTTCTTTTTCCCACTTTTTCTTCAACTTCTCTACATATATATTAATGAGTTATTATTAGACCTCATTTTTTATCCAGGCTATTCTTCATGTCTTTTCTAGAATATTTGCATTTGTGGTTCTGATTTCCATCCAACAATGACAATTTTGGTATAAACTGCAGAAATGAGAGGAAATACTACATCATCTCTGGATGCCTCATTGCAGTTTTCTAAGGTATGGAGTTTATCTCCTGATGCCCTGGAGTCAGAATTAAACCCCTTCCCAAGAGAACAGGGGCCATTAGTTCTGGCAGTGCCTACCTGTTTTCCATATGCACAGTACCTGCAGAGCTGTGTCATTTCACTTAGACACCTACAGTGGGATCCATAAAGCAGAGCTTGACAATTTTTAGCTGCCTTGATGACAGTAACTTTTATTCTGAACTGAAATCTTTGACTGAAAACAGGTTTAATTAAAACAGTGAGAGCTTGTGTGTAAACCAGCCCTTAGGCACCTTCACAGAGCCATATAAATCAGAACCATACAAGACATGTTATGTTCCTGAATGCATCTGCCTGTCAGAGGGAGCCCACCCATGCAGGATATCTTGTGGCATTTTATTCAGCCTAGTTTTAAAAGCCCAAATCATTCCGCCATTTATTCCAACTTGCACAATATACTCAGAGCAAATGCCCTGACTACTTAAGGTCATTTAAAAACCCTACAACACTGTACATTAAAATTGCTACCAGCAGTATCCTGTTCAATTCACAAATAAGATAATTGCAGCACTACATAAATTCTTTTTACAGTTTCAGCTTGTTACAGTGCTTTTATTTATTATGACTGCTACAATTTTTTAATAACACTTTTATTTTAGTTGTGGCTGTTTGTGACAGAAGTCTAAATATATTCCGTAGGGAAGTAGGTAATATCATTCCTTTGTAAAGGACTTTGTAAAAACTGCTGTCATGGCAGTGCAGAGCTAGAACTAAATACCAAGGCAGCAGGACAGTTAGGAGCATATTTGTTCTACCTAAACTTCAAGACAGCCTAGACAAGATAATAATGGACATTTGAAGTAGCAGCCACGTACTGCCATGAATAAATTTAACCATTCCCACAGAAAAACTAGTAACATAGAACAGATGAGAGAGGGAAGACATGATGTTTTTCTTTAAATTCATTTGGGAGAATACATCAGAACTGGCCTCCCCATGTCTGAAGAATCAGTATGATCCACTCTCCGCCATCACAGCCATTTGGCTTCCAGGAGATCTGCCAAAGACTGGAGTCATCTCACAGGTGGGTTTGTTTAGGTTCCTCTGCAGCTTCATGGTATCCTTACCTTTCACTGACACGCAGACACGGGTAGGAGAAAAAAATACAGAAACTAAGAAAGGTAAAAATGCCATAAGATACCTCACCAAGGGGAAGTTCTGCAAGAAGAAAAATCTAAGTTCATGCAACGTACACCATAAGTCTCCTGGCTGGACCCCAAACCCTTCTTTACATACCATTTTCTGGCACAGAATGTAAACATAAAGATTTTACTGGTGGGTACATTTGTAGCTACAGATCTACAGTGCTAAATTACACCATAACATATTACTTCTCTCACAAGACTGCAACAAGTTTTAACTCATTTCCACTTGTAAAGGGGAATTTTGAAGAAGGAGCAGTGAAAAATAAAAAGCCATTGATACTACGAGAAAAGAAGAAGAATGCTCTGAAAAAACATGGATGTGAAAAGAGCTGTTTCCAGCAATCATGCAGTGCCTCTGCCATTTATCCACTTCTCTGTCTTCCTCTCTTTCAAGAAGCAGGTGCCCAAATAGATTTGCTCATGGATTCAGATTCTATGCTTCTTTTCAAAATGCTCATCATCAGGAATAAAAAAAAACTAGCAAAGGAGAAAAGAAACCACACCTAGACTTCAGCAAGGCACTGATGAAAGGCTTTTCCTTGATAGTCAGAGGGGGGATACTGAAGGGGGTAATTAAAAAGAAAAAAAAAAAAGGTAGGGTGTACTTCACAGTCAGGCACCAAATAAAAATGGAGTCTGTGAAACCCAAAAGGGAAGAGAGGTTGTCATTTTAGAGCCTTCTGCAGCACTGAATGAGCACAGAAGCCATTTTCCTTGCAAACACTCAGAGAGGAAATTATTCCTTCAAATAAACAGTCTCTGAGCCATGGCTTAAGACAGCATGTAAGAGTACATATGTTTGAGTGCAGTCACTCCAGATTTTGCTTTACTTGCATTGCAGCATATTGTGACCTACATTAAATGGTTTCTGTGCACTGACCACAGAACAAGCAGTCTCCAGTGACAGAGCCCAGCATGCAGACAGCTCCATTTCATTATGAAAACAGTGCAGAATGCTACAGCTTTGCTGTTTGCCATTTTAGAACAGCAATGTACATCTGCCACAGTACAGACACCACTGGGGAATATCAGTTGGGTACTGCAGCACTATGAGAGGAGTTAGAGGCACCTCTGTTCCTGCCTAAAGTCCCCATCTCAGCTGACTCCATCCCAAAGACAGCAATGCACCTCACAGTGCCATGTGGCAGATTAGATGCTAGTGCCCTGCTGATGTGCCTGCAGTGGTTCCAGTTTCCACGAAGTTTACCAGTGGAGGTCAAAAGCCAAAGGCCACGTGGATCCTCCATGTATTTGCTGCCACACATTCACAGTGCCATACGAGAGGCAATAAGCCTCTGCACTTAAGCTGGCTTCCATGGTTCCAGCTTGAAAATGATGGGCAAAAAACATTCTAACCCCTTAAACAGATCACAGGGAGTATATGGCAATAGTAACAACGTCCAGGTGCTAGTCAGCAGAGCTTGTCCATGGGATTACTGCAAAGAATTCCTAATCCCAGTTTTACAGAAAAGAAACTGAGATGGCTAAAGCTAATTGATTTTCTTGCACTGTAGCACAGATATACTCAAAATGAAATGTAGTCTTTACTATGTTTTTTTTATAATGGAAAGAAATAAAAAATAAGTGGATGTGGACATTAATATATACAGAATTAAGTGCATATATATCTTGCAGACACACATGAAAAAAAGAGTAGAAAATAAGTCTGTATAAGAAGAAATGACTGTGTAAATTTAGAAAATGCCAGCTCTAAAATTCCTTCTGTAACCTTCTAGCACTTTAAAGAAGCAGTCTTCCATTGCCACAGAAAATGCTATATTTTCTCAGATGTCAATAATGGCTGTAACTAGGAGTAAATATGGCTATAAATGCCATATATATGCAAATGGTCATATGTGGTATTGCATAAATAAGTTTAATAACAACTCTATTTATTCCTAAATACTGACTTTGCAATCTTATTGTTCATTAAATCTGTATGTTGAACACAGACAGGATCACTTTCTATATTTACACAAATGCACTCACCACTTTTCTGCAATAAGTACCTTTTGGGACAGACTGGAAATACAAGGTCACCAGCAGCTATGTGATATATAGCTGCTCAGCTGTGTTATTTATCAATGTATAGATTCAAAGTCTCCTAAATGTGGCCTGCACGATAGTTTGGGTCACTTTCTTTGTCCAAATGGTCCATCTGACATGTCCCTTGTCGCACAGGGTACCATATGCTGAGGTATGCTCCAAGGACTTGGATCAGATCTTATCAAGCCTTCACGTTGTTCAGTTTGCTTCTGTAAAAACAAACACCAGCATGTCCATTTGGACTCAGCTGTGGTATTTCTAT